TCTCGCTGGGCCGAGGGGACAGCGCTGCCCTCCAGGCGGTGGGCAGGCCGTGAGCGCGTTTGACGAGGGGGAAGCCTCGGATTTCGGGGTCAGACCGCACCACATCGGTTTATGTCCGTTCCCGGGCCGCGTGAGCTGCTGTCGGGCATGTGGTGAGGGGAAGAGATAAGAGTTTGTTACGGTAATAAAACTAGTGTAAACTCAGCCTACTGACATTCATTGTGGTTGAGGGTTTTGTTTTGAGGCGGGTTTCTGTTTGAGGTTTTTATCAAACGACTGAGAAGTGTATGACTTTTCATGTAGCTGGGTGCTCCAAGTGGTTTTGGTCACTTTTTCATTTCAGTTGCATAATGGCAGAAGCTACCGTCTCTCCACTGAAGCACTTTGTGCTGGCTAAAAAGACAATCACAGCCATCTTCGACCAGCTGCTGGACTATGTCACTGAAGGAGCAACTTTTGTAGAAGGTTAGCTTTCATCTTAAACACAAGGGCCTTGTCTATTGCTTTGAGTGTTTTACAGCAATGCAAAGTACGTTGCAATACATGTCAATGTGCACTTTGTATAAAAATACACCTTCAGAAATAGTCATGTTTTTCATTTAACATTGGGTTTTTTCAGCTTAGGCTAGCAGGAATGCCTAGGATGGTAACAGGAAAAGCTGATTGCATCACTTGGGTTGGTAACCTGCCCTCCTTTCCACAAGTGTGAAAGCTTAACCACTCCAGTGTTTGTAGTCCTGTTGTAGTTTCTTTTGTGTAGAAGAAAGGACAAACAGGTTCTCCCATTATTCAGTACAAAAGTAGATCAACATGATGTAAATGCAAAGAACCACTGGTTACACCCTCAGAAGTTTTAACAGCGTGGAGGCGCGTGTGTTGCCACACAGAGTTGGTTGCTCATCACCCCAGTGAGCTCTGCAGGGAGAAGACAGCCCAGCCTAACCAGTGTATCCATGAGAGGTCCTGGCTTTCCTGTCTGAAGGAAGTGGGTGTTGCATAGAGCGGGGCAGATCAGCACAGCATGGTGTGCTCACAGGCTCATGGAATCCAGCAGCTGGATTGCTGATTAATCTGAAGTGAATTATGTCATGATTTCACAAGTGCTTATGGCAGAGCTGTCAAATGACAAGGGTTAATATCAATATCTGTAATGGGATTTTGTTTGTTTTTTCTTATTGCCGTATAATTAAAATTTACAGAGATCTTTGTTAGCATGTGAAGTACTGATAATCCGTATCTTGTACCTGGAGCATGTACTTTGCATGTGATTGCTTTCATGTTATTCTTTTTTCTATGTGTAGCGACATACAAGAACCCAGAGCTTGAACATGTAGCAACAGAAGATGAACTAGCAAAAATACAGGCATATAAAAATAAGTTAGCAGTCATCGGTGAGGTGCTTTCACGGAGACACATGAAAGTGGCATTTTTTGGCAGGTAATGAATGGAATTACCAGAACATAATTTGATATTTTTTCTTCTCTCTTGCAGGGCTTAGTGTCTGTATTTCTAACTTAAATGCATTGGAATTAGTGATTCATCATATAATTACTGTGTGAAATATAATTCATAAAACTATGTTTACTCTTACCTAATTGATGCTCAATATTTCTTTGATGCTATCTTGCTTCGTGACCGTAGATTAATCATGCATGTCTTGTTACATGTTTTTCACTCATAAACTTTGTAAAATAATTATCCTGTATAGGTCCATTATTTGACTTTGGAAGTTCTGAGTTTGTTGGAGAAGATGGTTTTTCTTTTTTTAATGCGGTGGTTTTGTTTGTTTAATATCTTCGTTTTACTGGACCTACTGTTGAGAACTTCTGTGTTTGATCACAACTGTTGAAAAACTAAACTTTAGGCTGTTTATGTTTCTGTATATAAGCAGCTGAAAGAAAACAGACCATTAGAGACTGTTACCTTGTTGGTTGTACCATTAGTTGGATAGATCTGTGTGATGATTATAAGGGGTAACAGCAACAGTGTACTGAATGGTTTACAGATCAGTCTGAATGAAGTTATGAAATTCTGTTTTCCTGAATCACTAATTAGGAAAAGTTCTAGTTCACAGTCTTTGATGGTATTGCTGCAGACCAAGTGAAAAACCTTCTGTGTATTTAAATAACGTTTCCAAAGTTATGGGTGATTTCAATTCACTTCTGTTCTAAAAAAAAAAGGTAGTATTTTCAGTGTTAAAATATTTTTAATTTGGTCAACTTGGGATCATCTCAGCTATATTTTTTTATTTTTGCAACAGGAAAAAAAGGACATAAAAAGAAAGGTATTGCAGCTGAAATGTGTTACTATATAAGAAATATTCTAAAGAGATGCTGTCAGGTGTATAGACCCAAAGGTTTTATGTGTTCCTGTTTGCATATATTGTGTTTTGCATTTCAGTCTCAGGTTGTCAGTGAGAAATTTTGACTGGTTCTTACCACTTGCAGTAGATGTCTGCGTGCCAAATATTGTGCCGTTCTGTTCCTATGAAATGTGGAGGGTGTAGAGAGATGATGGAAAATCAGCCTTGCCTAATGTGAAGTCAGGTATAAACTAGTGAAGTCCTATTAAAAGACTATGGTTCCAGTGCTTTCAAATGCCTTTATGTGCCTGGTTAATTTGGTGTCTGTTAGTCCACTTTGCTTCAGAAAGATTTGTTTTTCTGTGCTTAAATCTAAGCTCGTGGTCACGTTTTTTTTCTGGAGTATGAATTTCATGTTTTCTAAAAATGTTGTAATAATACTGGAAAAAATGTGTATAACAGTGGTCTTACCTTAATTTTCCTAAAAAATAGTTCAGCTAGTTAAAACCAAGAAAAGGATCTGCGATAAAGAAGTTAGTTATATCTCAGCCTTGATGTTTCACAGAGTTAAAATTTGAATACATTTACAAGCTGTGATGTGTGATATAAGTTGCTTTTGCAAAGGGCAGAAGTTCAGAGCAGAAGAAAGATAACCCTCTGACATTTTGAATAAATGTGCGAACTGTTGTACAGTGAGCACTGAACTTTTTCTAGAAGTAGCAGCTCAAAAATGATTTTACGGTCTATGTAACTCCATACTGTTGTGTAATAGTTAAACCTTAAATATTTATGGGTGAGGGGTAGAGGGTTAGTGCAAAGTAGGACATTAGTCAGAACTTCCAAGTTCTTGCAGAATCTTGAGTTGCTGACCAGTTCCTTTGAATCAACAGGGTTTTGTTTAATTAGGCTACATTTCCCTTATGAAATAAGGACAAGATTAAGTTGCATTATTAAAAAACAGCATTTGCATTATAAGGATTATGCACAATAAATACAATTGAGATTTTTCTTTGCACATTGTTTCACATTTTACTGTAGAAATCTTCATTCAGTTGAGATTATAATCCATTAAATTGAGCTGTCATTGCTGGCTGTGTTGAGAATTCCCAGAGAGCAATGCTTTGAAATGTATCTGAAGGCAGTAGTACAGTGATGCTCTTTTGCACCTCATCTCATGCCTAGAAGACTCTTATCAGAAGCAGCAGTTCCTTTCTGACTGACGACAATCAGATGCGTCTCTAAAGACAGGTTAAGTTGCAGAGGTGGTAATTTTATGAACATTTTAAGCAGTCACCATTGATTGCCACCATAGAGGTGGTTCTTCCCTGCCCCTGTCATGCAGCATTCTGCTCGAGTCTTCCATCCCTGGAATTCCTTTAGCTTTGCTGCGAGCAGGAATGGGGAATTGTTGTCAGGACGCAATTCTACTGAAAATGTTACCTGTATTTTCAATCATTTCTGTGGGAATGCTAGAGCTGGCACAGAGAGGAGGGTGGGCTGTCCTTTTGTGTGGGACAGCGTACTGAGATTTAGCAATTGCTTCCAGTTGATCTAAGGCATCTTTTTATGCTAGATGCTTTTTTTCTGGTGTAGCAAAGTTGAGCCGATATCTCTTACAAATTCCTTACGCAAATTGTGGTATACCAGATAAAACACATGTACCCATACAGGTTGAGCTTGTTGAGCTAGTATGTGCTATGGAAATGAAAATTGGTATTCTTGGTTGGATTGGCAATGTTGATACCAAGAAAGATGCTTGGAATTGTTATTCAGGTAAAGTTTTCGTGCACTCCCTATTGTTTTCTGGCAAGCTGTGCTGAACTGTCACTCGAAACTCATCATGTGAAACAGCTTTCGGTATGTGCATCTGATGCAATGAAATGGGGGCGCGTCCAGTTTAAGACAAAGATATGTTTAATGTTGCTATATTGTGCTCAAAGTGCTTTTGTTTTCTATCTCTCTAGAACGAGCAGTGGGAAAAGTTCGGTCATTAATGCGATGCTGTGGGATAAGGTACTTCCTAGTGGGATTGGCCATACAACTAACTGCTTTCTCAGTGTGGAAGGGACAGATGGAGATAAGGCTTATCTTATGACAGAAGGATCAGATGAGAAGAAGAGTGTCAAGGTACATTTTTTGAATGATTAACACTACTTTTTACAGTAACTATTTCTCAGAAGATCTGTCTTTCAAACCATGATTTCAAGTCTAACAAGATGTAACTCATTCTGCATTTTTACATTCTTTCTTTAGGAGGGAACAACTAACAAAACTAAAGTGCTATACTTCATAGTTTTTCTTGGATATTTCAGCAAAACAGCTACTGTGTGTCTCATTGTAGCATAGCATATGTTGAGTGATTTATTTTTATAGGACTGAGAGTAAGTTCTGTCACTTGTTAAGGATTTGGAATGTGCCTTATGGTACTCAGCTTATTTAACTGCTCACATTGACACGTTAAACCTCTGAGGCACGTTCACGGCGACGCTCAGTATCGCTCACTCTAGCATCGGCTCCAAAGAAACTCCTGTCTCAGACACAACTTGCTCTTTAGATGCTGGTGAATCTAAGACCTTAAATTTTTTTTAAAATTGCAAATATTCACCAGAAAGAAGTATGAACTCTGTAACATTGTTCAAGATAGATCCTATCCAAGTTGCCCGAGAACCAAACTAGACCGGTTTACAGAATTGCTTGTGGTGTGTATTCATGTTTGTGTTCTCCTTATGCTCTTTATAGACAGTCAATCAGCTTGCTCATGCACTTCACATGGATAAAGATTTGAAAGCTGGCTGCCTCGTCCATGTCTTTTGGCCCAAGTCAAAGTGTGCCCTGCTGAGAGATGATTTGGTTTTAGTGGACAGGTATGTTTTCTGTTTTAGTAAATGTTTTCTTAAATAAGTTAGCCATTAAAACACTTAGAAAAGAGACTGGTTTACTGATTGATTGTGGTTTTGTTGTTAGGTTACAAAATTCTTGAAAGGCTTTTTTTTTTTTCTTTTGAGAATAAAGTTTGTTCTTTTGTATATACTGTTGCCTGTCATCACCCCACTGATTTTGTTCTTGTAACAGTTGAAACAGACAAATCTCTTGTGATTGAGGTGAATAAGGGACTAGCTTTTGGCCTTTAAAAGAAAGAGTATGGAAGTGTGAGTAGGGTTGTTGCAGCAACAACCTTTTGCCCGTCTTCTGTCTTTTAACACTTCAGGCTGATTATGTGAAGTGTAAGCAATCTGGACTTCATTTTTAAAAGCTTCTGATAAGAGTTGCAGTGCCTACATTTTGAGGTCACCCATTACTTTGATATGTGAATGTGACTGTTACCTGTGTACGCCTATGTGCATTTCCTACAGTTTGTTTATTCAAAGAATTCTGAAAGCTGTTGCTTTGTATATGTCAGGTGCCTTTAGTCCTGGCCACTGAGGTATGATCTGGTAATATTTTTTTCAAACTGTTAGGTGATCTATACTTAGTGTGTGAATCAATATAGATTGAATTTGTAAGTATGATTTCTTCATATCCAACAAAATAACACCCAGTGTGTATTCTGATAAACTGTAGTGCTTTTTGTTGCATCTCTAATCTTGCACCTTTGAAATTCCCGGGAGTTTGTCACTATTTTCTTGGGTGCAAACTCAGGTCCTGTATTAGTCAGCACAGCTGGCACAGGGAGCCGGGTGGTTCAATGCACTGCTGGACTCCTGAGCTTACGCCATTGTGCTGTCTCCTTGGGGATGTGTGCATTGAACAAGTTTGCTGGAAGCCCAGAAGGGATCCTTGCATAGATAGGATCTGAGGCGTGATTTGATCTGTACAGTCTCAGTTGCTAAAGGTAAAATGTAAAGGGAAAAGAAAACAGCCTGGATTCTCAGGAGAAAAGGTACTTGGAAGGAGAAAATAATCTTTTTGCTGTTAAATAGAGAAAATGTGAACCAGTCACAACTGAGGTTGGAAGCATGACTTAATATTCCACTTTTAAAAACCTGTCAGCACTATGGTTTTAACTTCATTTTTGTTTCTTATTAAATCTATACACAGCTTGCATAGCATATCATTTTAAAGTAGGCCCTTGTTAACAAAAAAATATTCTATGAACAACTGACCTTCTTTGATTAAAACTTGGGATACAGGGAGGGGGACCACTCTGTGAGACTGACTGGATTTCTGACCTACTGCCTGTCGCTTTTCTTGGCAATTATGGTCTGCATGCTTATTCATTAGAAATTGCATTTTGGAATGAGTAGATTGTCCAGTGAGCAGGTGATTGATAAAAGCTAAATGGTAATTAGCTATTGCCTTAAACTTGAGTTAGGCATCAGCCTAAACATATAAAGCTTTATGTCTTCTTACAAGGCCCTTAGGCAATCCCACTCTATTGTTATCAGTTTATAAAAATCAAATGCTCCTTTGCTGTGTAAATATGTTTGTGATTTTTATTCTCAACAGCCCTGGCACAGATGTCACTACAGAACTGGACAGCTGGATTGACAAGTTCTGCTTAGATGCTGACGTGTTTGTCTTGGTTGCCAATTCTGAATCAACTCTCATGAACACGGTATGATGCGCAATGATTTTGTGTTACTACTTCATTTAAATATTCAGCAGTTCCATAACTGAAATGGCTTCTCTTAGACCTTTACTGAAGCTCCCATGAATCACTGCTTTTAGATCTCGTGAATAGGATTTGGGGGTGGGAGATAAGAAGCCATGTATATCCCTTGCTAGGGAAAGGAGAACCAAATTTCTTACCAACTTTGCTTACTCTGACTTGAGCATCACATTTGTCCTTTCTATCCCAGTTTCTTTTTTGATAAGTGGATGATGTAGTGCTTGTCTTGCTTTGCAGCTTGTCAGTATTTGTCAGGTGAAGACACTTGTGGTATAAAATATTCCATAAATTATTTTTTTGATATCCAGAAGTTCAGTAAAATACAAAAAGTAGGTGAAGGAAGTTGAATTTCTGTCTTGTTCCTCGTGTGTTCTTGTCTCAGATGAGGATGAGTTCCCTTGGTACATCTTGTGTTGAGGACAAGTGCTACAGGTTCCCCTCATTGGATTGTATTTCTTCTGAAGATGATGCTAGCTGTAAGCATTCATGTTGCATGGTTCTGTGCAACATAGGAACCTGAAGGTGTTTTAACACCTTTATTCTATAAAGCCTGGTTTCAAGAGAGAGATTTCTGTATACCTTGCAGCCTAAATATTGTATGACTTATAGAAGGAGAGCGTGCAAAGTGGCCAAAGGTGCTGTTGTGATACTCACAAGACCAGAGAGTATCTTTAATTTTGTAGTGATCTTCAGTTTTGACTAAAGTATCTGTTGTGAATGCAGCAATATCAGTATAAGGTTCTAAGTTATTGAAAGTGCAACTGCTAGAATGTAGTACAATGCTACTGAGAAATCTCTTGTAGACTTTTATTAAGCCCCCTGCAGACAAATAAAATGCTCTCATTGTTCTGAGCATAGATCTGACGTGCAATGTCTGAACTTTCTAATTACTGATTGCTAATTTTTAATACAATAAGGAACTGAATGTACAAAGACGGTATTTTCTTGCATTCTAACAAATAGTTTGGTAGAAATCTGAGAACAAAAAATGAGTTTAAAAACATTACATTCCATCTTCTGAGCCAAATCCATAAAGACTCAAATACAAGAGAGATGTGATTTAGAAGGGGAAAAAAAGAAATTTCTGACAACATCCAAGGCAAAGAAAGTATTTGGCACAACTATGGCTTTATCCATCATCTCACATGAGGGACACTTTGACTTTTAGTGTGAAGGGATTCTGGAAGTTGTTTATGTGTATACCATGGTTGATTTGAGATTTTTTTAGTTAAAGAAAGAAGGAAAAAAGATTGTGTTTCAGTGAACATCTCATTACTATGTAGAAATGTAGAAACCATAGGGACCTGTGTGCCCTATTTCATTTTGGTATAATGAAGTGACAGTGAAAAGGCCAATTTTTATTTGTTTTTCTCATTTTCTCAGGAAAATGAACCATTAAAAACAATCTGACTGAGTTAAAAAATATGCAGGGAAGATGAATAGGCTGTATGTCTATTGGAAGTTTCTGTTAATTTTGTATTTGTCTGATCCTAAACATCCAGTCACAGAAGTGCTGTTCTGTTTTTCAGTGTGATTTTTGGCCAGTCTTTGTTCCTTGTTGGGCATGGCTGAAAGATGCTAAATAGAAATAGGTTAGTCTTGCAGTTTGCTTCAAACATTAAATTCTTGCTGAGGTTTTTTTTGGTTGCCATGCCTATAAATCCTCACTTAATACTGAGCACCTTTTAATTAATAGAATCTAGAAATCACCAGTGTCCAGGGTGTATATTGGAGGGAAAGGAAGAGGATCTTAGTTGTGATTGAGGCTTTGGCTCAATAAACAGCTCTCTTCCTCCTTTTTAATTTTTTCAGCCTGGTAGACACAAATGAAGTTGCCTTTAACAACTGTGTGACTGCTCTAAAAACATTTGTATTTGGCTTTGCATTTTGGCCAATGGTAATTTCTTTCTTCATCTACACAAGTTTATCCTTTAGGAAAAGGATATGATAACTATGTTCTCATGCTCCTTAGGCATTATTTTTACCTCTTACCATAACAGGTTTGAGAATACTGGGAAGCTGCTACACAACTACAATTTTTTTGCATAAACGTGATTTTTCTAATATTCCTTCATAAATTCTCTTCAGACAAAGTTCTTTCTGCAACAGTGATCTCATTTACACATGCTTAAACCCCGGCTCCTGGAGACTAACATATCTCCAGTGGTGTGTCCAGAATATGTGGTGGTGTCTTGCTTCAGATTCAAAAAGTTTATGGCAGCACAGAGATCTCTTCTGTTTCAGCTGTGCTGAGTGGGGATTCGCTCCATCACGACTTAGCCATTATGACTGTGAAAACACAGTGATGGGTGATAGGTACGGGAAAGGGACCTAAATACTTTTTCAGGTACACACGAGTCTTATTTTTAAAATCAGAACATTCAGCAATGACTTTTTTCCTGTGACTCAAGCCATACATCCTCATACAGGAAATGTAACTTGTCCGTAGTTCAAGCTGAGATGGTCTAGTTGAAGAGTACAGTTAGAGGATGTTTTTCTGGATATAGAAAAACCACATTTGGCAGGGTGAACAGGAGCATCGTGGTAGTTCAGAGAAGGAAGTCTTCAGAATTTTAGCCAGGTGTCTTACTTGAAAAACTAAATGAGCAGATACAGCCATGTCTTGTGTGGGTTTTTTTTCCCTTCCCCTCTTCCCCAGCAATATTTTGAGTGTCACACAATTGCAGAGAAATTTAACAGAGGGCTAGAAGTATCAAAGGAGATGAAGTTTTGTGATAGAGTGAAAGAAGGAAAAAAGACGGTGAATGATGTAGATTTATAGAAAAATAAACTTTATTTTCCAGTGTCTTCTAAACTATTTGGTTGGAAGTTTTCTGAATTTGTACTTAGTTTTAGAGAAGCTTGCAGCGTCTTTCGCTTTTAGCATAGGCATCAGTTTCAAGACATTTGATGACTTTAGAACTATCATGAGGTTTTATTTGTTCAATATCTGTGTTTTTTTAATGCTAATGAATTCTTCTTAATAAACTTTTTAAAAGCTGGATTAACTTCAGAATCTGTTACAGAACAATGTGTGGTTCTGGTTTGGATGTCAGGGGAGTTTTCTGTTTGTGCTTTAATTTTTAGGAAAAACATTTTTTCCATAAAGTGAATGAACGACTTTCTAAGCCAAACATCTTCATCTTGAATAATAGATGGGATGCCTCCGCATCAGAACCAGAATATATGGAAGATGTGAGTGACTTGATGGCTCTTATTTGAGTTGCTTTTTTTTTTTATAATACATATATATATATATATATATATATATATATATGAAGAAAGGGCCTCCACATGCATAAAAGCATGCTAAATTGCCTAGGTAATACAGTTATTAATATGAAAATACCATCTTTGTCTTGTTAACAAAAGAATAAGTTACTTGGCCAGAACATTGAAATAACTTTCTCCTTGTTCAGAGCAACCTGCAATTCAGACTACAATATATGCAGGCTGGTAGTGCAGTGGGAGGCTTGTTTAGAATGTTTTTTTCTCCACAGTTAAACTTGTTTTAGATCTTTGTAGTATCTTTTATTTGTGTAATGGTAATGCAGCTGGAGGGTACAGATGATACATGTATACATGCATAGAGTAGCTGACAAAGTACAGTGTTAGATGGTAACAGTTCAGTGTGCTCTTCAGATCTTTCCAACAGCAACTAGCTTGAAACAAGTGATACTTGTTTCTTTGTATAGGGGGAATGAAGTGGTTACCCCAGTAACTGACTGAGATCTCTGACTGACGTAAATACAGTTATAGTAGAAGGTATTGTTGCTTCCAGGGCTGTTTAAATGGGTAAAAGCAGCTGCTGCATCAGTAGGATTTGAAGGCATCTGCTATCTAAGGGGTTGGTTGTTCAGCATCTGTTTCTGACTCTAATGTTCTGATTTGATGACGGCTCAATTTTTGCCTTTTTCTCATGAACTTTCTACTTTTTCTGTAGGTGCGTAGGCAGCACATGGAGCGCTGTCTGACTTTTCTAGTTGATGAGCTCAAAGTTATTGATCCTGTAGAAGCGAGGAATCGCATCTTTTTTGTTTCAGCAAAAGAAGTTCTGAGTGCCAGGAGACAGAAGGCCCAAGGAATGCCAGAGGGTGGTGTGTAGGAATTCTTGCTTTTCCTTAAATACAGAAAAAGACCGTAAAACCTGATAAACAAAAATATTTAAGATACATTCACTGCTGTGAGGTACTGCACTCTCCCTTATGGTGTGTTTTCACAGGTGGAGCTCTTGCTGAAGGATTTCAAACAAGATTCCAGGAATTTCAACATTTTGAGCAGATATTTGAGGTATTTATGATGGGCTTTTTTTAGATTGCTTGGTTTTTAATGCAAAGGTAGCTTTTGCTTATGCTTAGCTTAATTTTACTGAACGTTACCCCATTAGCAGGTGGAGGAGTGTAAGGTATTCAGACCACCTGACAGCTTTGCCTTATCTGTGGGTTCTGTCCTTCTCTTCTCATCTTGAATAGCCAACAGTTTGTTGGGAAGAAGTATTGTTCAGTGAGGGAAAGGACCAAAACTCTTAGCTCATGTTTTGAGATTTCCATACCAATACAGTTTGTATAGAAAGAGAAGATGCTCATACAAAGGTGTGTGTCACAACCATGATGAAATGTTTGCTGTGGAGTAAGCCTTATTTTGTTCTGAAGTTGTATTTTGTAATTAATCATTGTAATTCAAGACACAAATAGTAAGAAATTCTGTTTCACTGATGTAAATCTAAATATTTACTTGGATTTTTTTAAAGCCAGAGTTTTGAAATTATCACATTATCTACCTCTTAGCTCTGATACTCTGCATATTAACACTGTTCTTGCATCTTTGTTGCTGTACAGAATCCATCCTTCAACCTCAGGTTAGCTGTATTGATAACTGGAGGTAACAGTTTCTTCAGAAGTAGAACTGGCTAGACAGTTGAGCGATTTCTTTATGATAGGATCTATTTGTCTTGCTGAATTTGATAACTTTAATTAAAGCCATTCTTGGATATCTTAAGGAGGCATCTTGGGTATGCCTCAACAGTTTTGTGTAGTATGTATTGGCATATCTCATGCACCATGAGCCTGAAAGGTACGACTGTAGTTTGTATACACCAAATGCTCAAGACGGCTCTTGCATACCTGAACCAGTAATTCCTTGTTCATTATATTTTTGAAAAAGCAAACTGCCTCTGAAAAGTATTTCTTCTTGCATTACAACAAATCCATTTGACCTTAGCAAAACCAGGTTATGTAATGATGTGTGTATATCAGAAAGGTGTTAAAATCATAGTTTGATTCAGTCTTGCATAAGAAAGAAAATGTCAGACTAAAGTTTAATCCTTAGCCACACTCCTATGATAGATGACTGAATTGGTGAAATGATTGGTTCAGAATACCAGCAGGGCCTGAGTCCATGAGGTGTGAAATTTCTTGCTTGTGTCACTAGTTGTAGCCAAACATGCATTTTTGTTTGTAATTTTTGTCCTTAGAATTATAGTAGCAAACTTCCAACCAGTAGGAAAGTGGAAAATAAACTTCTAAATCAGTTATTGTTCTTTTACATATTTTGCCATGAGCTATACCCAGAGTTTTTTTGAGCAAAATCTCTTATAGTTACAGTTAAGCACTCAGCACTTAGGATATTTCAAGATGAAGATGTATGTATGACTTACTAAATGATGGGATGCTATGAGTGCTCAGCCCATCTGTAAATCAGATGTCATGGTCTGAAGTTGGCCACCAAAATGAGAAGCATCTATCACAAGGTCACAACCATGACAAGTTTCTTTGGCAGAGGCTGTGACAAAAAACAATTCTGTGATAGTGCTGTATGTCCTTAAAACAACTTTTTTCTTTTACATTATCTGTTTTATTTGCTGCCCACCTTCCAACTCCAGCAGTGAGAGTGGATTCTGTAATGTTTTTCCCTGCTCAGCCATGTTTTGTCCTGAAATCATAATGATGAATGGCTTTGAATAGGAGTGTGATCACATCACTTAAAGACCACAACATGTGCTAAATTAAGATTGCCAAAGCAATTGAAATTTTGAGTGTCTGATGTTGCAGCCTCTTGCACAGTCAGGTGTGTTATAATGGTATTTTATTTGCTTTTAAAGCAAGGCTGATACTTAAATGGTTCACCAGATCTGGAATCTTCAGACCTAATACTCAAATTACTGTGACTTGAGCTGATAAAGTAGCTGACATCAGCATACTATTGTCAGCAGTTATTTTTACCAGCACTAAGCTATACCAGCTCATGTATTAATGAAGAATATTGTGCAGCAAGTAGAATCCTCTGTGTTCAGTCTGGGAATGAAATCCTACTTTATCTGCTTGGTACTGTGCTTTATGCACTGCTAGACCAAATTCAGATGCTGTATAGTGTGAGCACAGCCTAAGTACTTCTGGCTAAAGTGCTTTGCATTTACTCTGTTTCCTGACAGAGGAGTTGCAAGTCCCAAGACTCTTGGATTACACTCCAGTCTGTGGAAAGGAAGGAACAAGAGCACAGATGCTTCTGTCTGTCTTCATCAAACACCGACCCCTTCCCTGCCTCCCTCTGTCTGTCTTGCCTTTAGCTCCTTGTCCCTGTTCAGGTGCCCTGCTCAGACTTCCCAAACATCTCTCACGCTCTTTCATCCAGTTCACATCTCTAGGCTATCTCATCTCCTCATTTACACACGTTCCGTGTTCCCACAGGCTATATCTGCTGGTTTTGTTCCTCCTGGATTCTCTCACCCTGCTTTTGTCTTCACTAAAATTAGATGACTTCTTCCTCTTTTCCATGTGGGCTGAGAAGAGGAACTGTTACTTCTCCAGTACTTCCACATTCCTGATTTTAGTATCACTTCCCTGATGGGAAAGCCTGTTCATCCCAGAACTGATATGAGCTCAGTAACTAGAATCTTAAAAAAATCTAGAAACAACCCATCGGTGCTACTTTATTGTGATATGGAAAAAATTGGGACTCTTTTTGAAAGGTTTGTAACTACATTTATGCAGACTTTTGTGTGAGGGCAAAAGGCACTCCAAAAAAAGATATAATATGCTTTTCTGCAAAGCACAGGGTGGTTTAAGTTGCTGAAAGAAAAACTGGCCCAGGTGTTAATAGAAACACTTGTAAGTGGTGAAATTAAGATTTTAGAAATTCATGTAGTAGCTTTAAAAAGTGATGCTACTATGTATGTCAGCTGTATTACAACAAAGGAAAAAAAATGTGCAGTCTTAAAGGGTTGAATCCATTTTGAATTTTTATACTGTGCAATAACAGAAAGTAATCTGTGTATCTATCTTCTGAAATTTTATGAGACACATAGAAGTGCTGTATCAAAACAGAAGTGCATGCACAGTGTGCTGTATGCAGTAGTCCTTAGTGGGTATTCTGCATAAAAACAAACCCTGCTATTCCTCAGGCTATAGTGTTTCCCCAGTTTCTTCACAAAACTGGGTGACAGAAACAGTGTGGGGAGGACTAGAGAAGGGAGGCAGGGCAGAATGGCAATTCTGGCTGTAAATTGGAGTGAATACCAGAGCCTGAATTACACAGTACTGCAGAGTCCTTCCCTAACACTACACGAGAATGTAACAAGCTGTGCACTTAAGAGACTATCTCACTATACTGGAAGTGAGCTGGAAGGTAACTGGGTTTGGTTCGCTGTTGAAATGTATCTTTTCTCTTTGTTTCAATAAATACTTACTTACAGACTAACAGCAAAACTGCTGCTGTCCCCCTCTTATCTTTCCCAGTCGTTTAACTAACCTTTGTGTTTTTCCTAGTGCTCTAACTTGGATTTTCTGATTGTGTTGTGAGTGACTGTCATCCTTTTATCTACCACATACTAATGTTGGGAAGACTCTCCTCTGTGTCTAGTCTAGCTCTTACAATGTGCTGATATTAATGAAACTCTGGCCTTTCATTGCTGATTTCTAGATCTGCTTCATCGAGGAACAGGGAATATATTTTACTCATTTATTTTGTTTTGATCTATCATTTTTAGATAGCTGAAATTTGTTATTGCAGCATATGCTAAGGTCATAGGCAAGTCTTTTAGAAGCAACCTAAACCTGTTTGTGCTATGAAAGGTGCACCCATGGATTGAGAACAATTTTAAAACCCCGTAGGTCTGGTATAAGGAAGCTAGCTGCTTGCTTTCTTCCCCTCACACACGTATGTTTCTACTTTGTGGTGACTTAGTACAGGTTGAATTCTGACAGCATTTAATTGGCTACATAACTCAGGATGTGCAATTGCTTGAAAAAAAGTCAAAGCCTTAATTTGTGGCTTAACACAATTGCTTTGCTTTTGCCCAAATTGAACATCTGTGTATCTCTTCAGTCAGTGTTGTGTAGTTTCTGAATCGCTGTACAATATTCAAGTTTGAAGATTGATTAGAAATTGTATCTACAGAGCATTCTCTACTTACTCATTTAACACTTCAGCAATCTGCAAATAAATTGTTAAGTATTCCTTAAAATATTAACTGGGTTTTTTTAATCCTGTGAGATAATCCTTGTTTCTTATTCCTATTGTATATTTTGTTCCTGGATGGCCAGTGTTGACATGAGCACGTCAAATTTTATTGACAGAACTGCTTCTCAAAACTATGTGTTGCAACAAAGAAAACTCAAGCCAGGCAATATTGCCAGCATTCCTGTTAGACGTTTATAATTCTGAAGAGATAGTTTGGAAAATTTTCTCAAGAGCTAGATTTATTTTATGTATTCATCTGAGTTTTCTTTTTTCTTTACACTATTTATTTATTTTAAAAGAGTAAAAACCTATGCACATTACTGTGAGTGAACATGAAGGTACAGATTTGCTGCTATAGACTCATCTGAGATTTCAGTTCTGTTGTCTTTTAATTTCTGTATACTTTCTCCTTTTTTATTTCCCATTGGTTTAAGTTCATGGTAAAATTAGCAGCATGTGCTTTCTGACAGTGAAATTCCTGAATGTGTTGGCACGGAATTGCAGTAATGTGTTGTGGCTTGGGCCCCTCGCAGGAGTGTATCTCGCAGTCAGCCGTGAAAACCAAGTTTGAACAGCACACTATCAGAGCTAAACAGATAATAGATACTGTGAAAAACATAATGGACGCCATAAACGTAGCAGCAGCAGAGAAAAGGTAGGTTGGTTGGATGGCTGGTTGGCTTTGGTTTATCCAGATCCTCTGAGGAGCCATTTCTATGCTGGTGATTTTTGCTGGTCATTATGGACTTTAAAATTCACTTTTCTCCTTTGGTAAGATACAGAAAATTTTTCTGGTCTGTCACTTTTAGTATTGTTCACTTGCATTGCTCAGTCTTGTCCTTGGTCTGTGACTTTTGTATAGGGATCTTGGTTTACTTTGTTCTTCATTACTGACAGTTACAGAGACAGTCTGTGGGTTTTCAAAACTTTTTTTCCAAAATATTTGAAATTTTAAGTTTTTTTTCTAGCTGTATCGAGCATTTCAGTGGTGATGTTTGGTCCTGCTTAAGTTTTTTGTTAACAGTAACACTGAGAAAATAAATGGAAGGATGCAGACACTTTAATTTGTAAGTGGTTAGAAAACTGTAAGGGAAGAGCCCAAGTTAACAGTGGCTTGGCCTCTGGCCCTTTCCAAACTGGATCCTTAAATATCTTTATTCTCTCATGGCTCATGTAATCCTTTTAGTGCTAATGATAGCAGCTCATCTACTCTGTCTGATAGTTTCATATACTCTTTGAGGTTTGCATATGTATGGTTTTTAACTCGCTCCTGTTACCTCTTGTCTCTCCTGTACACAGTGAACTTGCTGTCATGTTTAATCCTTTCCATCCATCTCCTTTCTGTGTCTGTTAATAGTGTGTCTTTATGTTTCACAGACTCCACTGTACCTGTCAAACACACTCATCTTCCTGAATGTATCAGCTTTTACAAACTGCGTGTTTACATACTAACCTCTCACGTTGTCAGATCCTATGAAAACATGCTGTGAAATATTTGAAAATATTATGATACTCTGCTTTTTTTCTGTCAATCGACCTGCCAAAACCTGTGTAGTGACCCCTCTTAATCTGAATTGCTCTTTGATGTCTCTGCTGGCTCTTCAAGCTAGAACTGCTTTAGAATTTAAGCAATTTTCACTTAAATGATAGGTCAGGGACTTCTGAAGAGAGTTGTTTGTGATAAGGTTAGTTTCTGCCACCTCCCCTTTGCTTTGCAGGGTCATCAAACCCTTGTCGCTGTTAAGGAATAGTTGAGTGGTGCTGGTGAGCAGCAGTGGGACATTTTGATCAGATTTATCTTTTTTTTTTATTTTGTTTTATTTTAAAAGCAGCACTCATACATAAGTATACTCATACTATACAGAGTATAAGTACTATACAAAGTATACAATACAAAGTATAATACAATACAAAGTATACAAAGTATACTATACAAAGTATAAAAGTATACATAAGTACACTCATACTATACAAAGTATAGACTTAAGTATTAAACACCCCTGATTCCCTGCACCCTTTTTAGTTGTAATTATGTGCAGTGGTAACAAGTCCAACTCCAAATGCTGTTTTTGTAAATACACTACAGCCCAATAATTTGAGTTATGTTCCACCAGTGCGGCTTTTAAGAGCTCCTGTAAATTTAGTATCTGTGTTGCAGTCATTCTGAAGCAGTGCCTCTGCTTTCTTCAGCCAGTGTTGGAGTCTTTTTGGCTTCTTTTTGACTGCCCAGTAAACCCTGGGCTAGGTGCTCCGTGCCTGGTTACAGGGCTTGTTTCATTACTGGGAGAATACCTGCTGGTGACGGTGATTTCCTTTCTGCTACGTTAGAGTCCATTCCATGGAAGAGCGAGAAGATCAGAGGGATAGACTGGACTTTGTTCGAAATCAGCTGAACATTTTGACAGAAGATACTAAGGAAAAAATCAAACGTGTTACTGAGGAAGTAGAAAATAAAGTAAGTAATGGCAGCATGAAAAATCTCCCAGGTTTCAAGTGTTGTCCCTCCTGTGAGGGAGCTCCTTTAGGTGCCCACCACACTATGATGTATGTTTGAAATGTCTAGTATGTTCCTTTTCCAATAGGGGGGGGGGGGGGGGATTGAAAAATAAAACAAGCTTCCAAATACCCAACACTTTATGGTGGGGTTTTTTGTGGTGTTTGGTTTGGTTTTGATTTTTGTTTTAAAGAAGGCAGTTTTTATTAAACTTTTACAAATTCCTCCTCAAACTTAGTATTTAGAAGGATCATACACCTGTAAGTGTTTGCCTCTTGCACTCCAACTCTGCTCCCACCTGTTTCAGCCTCGTTGATCAGCTGGGAGTGCTTCATTGTCAGGACAGTCTGAGCTGTCCTGGCTCGCAAAATGTCTGGGGCAGAGCATTGTGGGAGTGGATGGGATCGGTTTATCTTTGGGCAGAGCAGCAAAATTGGCTCCCATCAGATGATGACAGTAAAGGCTTTGCAGGGCAGGATGGTAGTGGTAGGCTTTTCAGTGTCACATTGATTAAAACTACAAACTTGTCCCTGTGCATTTTAGTGATCACAGTCCTAGAGAAATCTCTCCTGTGTCACTTTCATTAAGTTTTCAGTCACAGTATGCAATTTAGAAGCATGGTATTTCCATGGTAACATTCCTTCCCATTGTAAATAACAATGCTTAGTGTTTAACATCTCTCTGCTCTGTATAATGTAATTTATTAGCTAGATATAAATTGATGAGCATATATTCTTTATAAAACTTCAGGAACTGAACAAACATATAGAAGATGGTTTGGGAAAGAATTTGGCTGATCGTTGCTCCAGTGAAGTCAATCAGTCGATGCATCAGTCGCAGCAGGAGATGATTGGTAAGATGAGGAAAGAGGAATGTTAAGACTTCTTGTTTAGAGAAAGACAATTTAAGGAAACTCACTTTTAAAAGAGTTTTTTCTTTTTGATGATGATTTAACATTAAAATGATAAAGGAGGAAGCCATCCTAGATCAAGACTGAGTGTCTGTTCAGCTTAGTAGCCTGTCTCTGATATTAACCAGTAACAGATGCTTGGGGACAGGAGTAATGAACCAGGGTAAATATAGTTGATCCGTCCTCAATTTAGGGACTTCGGAGCCAAGATACTGCATCTGGATTAATGGCTTAAGCAAGTAGTAATGGACCTGTCCTCTGGGAAGTTGTCTAATCCTTTTATAAACCCTTTTAAATGTTTGGCTTCCACAACAGATACATGAAATACACTAATTATTGGATTATGTTTCTGCAGTATAATCCTCTCCCTAGCTCCCTCCAGATTCTGATTCTTTTTTTTTTAATAAGTAGTAACTGTATTGCATATCCATATCTCTCTTCTGATCTGTTTCTAGTAATAAAAGATTCAGAGCAAGATCATGGAATTATGTGAAGCCTTCTGTCATCTTACACAATAATATTGCCTTTTCTATATGGCACCACAGAGCTGCTGGATAAACCAAGTTTTTCTTAGTCTGTCCTTATCTTTTAACCATTGATAGAAGTCTTTCAGTTGATCTGACCATTTTTTTCCAGCAGTGTTTTCTCTATGAGTTGATTTTGCATGACTGTTTTCTTTTATCAGAGCAATAAATTGCTTGCCCTGCTATGATTAATACCGATAAAATGCTGACTGGTTTTGCAAATAAATAAATAGGTAGGTTTAGATTCCTGTAGTTCACAAAGCTGCTCAACAGTGCAAGGGTGCTGCTTGTGAATATGCTATAAAGCTTTTAATGTTAACTCATCTTTACTATTCTGTTTTATTTCTAGAGAATCTGAAACCATTGTTGCCTTCTGGTGCTCAGAATCAGCTCCACTTGCTAATTCCATGCAGGAGGTTTGACCTTAGCTATGATCTAAACTGTCATAGTCTGTGTGCAGATTTTCAGGAGGATATCATGTTCCACTTTTCCTTGGGATGGACTTCACTTGTAAACCGTTTCTTGGGTCCTAAACAAGCTCAGAGAGTACTATTGGGACTAGCAGATCCAAATGTACAAGTAAGTGCTTCAGAGATTATGCTGGTATTTTAAGTGCCTTGTTTTAGTTTGAGGAGAATATATTGATTATTTTTTTTTTACTATATTTGCCTCTGCTATTTATATGCTTGCTGCTACTTCTCCTTAGTCCCTTTGTGTGATACATTTTTTGTGAGGGTCATTTTCATTGGATTATATTCAGGGTTAGAATGGAACAAAAACCCTTTCCTATACTTTCTGCAGCTGTTACCTGAGTTTTGTTTTCCTTTGGATTGAACCCTTTGGGTAACCTTTTAATTTGTAACTTTGTCCTCATGGCAGAGGTAAGGGTAGACCCCTTACTCTAACCCAGTCCCCAGTTGGGCAAGGAACTGTCAAAACTCCACTGCTTATCAAGAGCATTGTTCAGATTTCTGTCCTGAAGAGTTTCCTTTAAGTAAATCAAACCCTGAATATATGAAAATAAAATAAAACCAGTCTGCTGTGTAGTTCCTTAATGCTTTTTACTCAGGCTGCCGTATTCAACTCTTCTAGATCCCTCGACCTTTAGCTACCACCCCGTCAGCTGCCAGCCTTCCTGCCGTAACTCCAGAGAACGTATCACACGATGATTTTATGGTTCCTTTGGTAATGAGTTTAGCTTCACTGACATCACGGACCTCCATGAGCATCATCGTTGTTGGCGGAGTGGCAAGTAGCATTAGCAACATTCACTGTACTAGAAGCAAAGATTAAACTGGTCTTTCCTATTTGGGGTGAAACATGGAGCATGTAATGGGTTTAGTAACACTGGGCTGGATGAGTGCGTGTAGTACACTGGATACCTGCAGTTTGCAGTGAGAAAATTAGTCTAACTACTCTGAGGATAGTTGGGCATATCTCTATGCAGTATGTCAGTGTTCAGTTTCTGAATTAAAGGATGGTTTGGTGGTACCTCATTCAGTTTGGATTTAGTGGGAGCTTGGCTTTCTCTTTCCTCCTTCATGAACAAGCAGTGAAGCTTCTGTAACCTGCACATTCTCCACACCACTGTGGTACCAGCTCATGGGAATGTAGCTGTATTGCTCTGCAATAACAATATGGAAATAATATATTTTTTTTAAATTAATCTGGTGAAAGGGCCATGAAGATGATTTAAAAACATGGGTGGAACTAGACTTTATTCTGTAGGACAGCTTAAGCTAATGAAGAATTCTCTTTTTCAGATTTGGAGAACAGTAGGCTGGAAACTCATCTCTCTTTCCTTAAGTATGTATGGCTTGTTATATCTTTATGAGAGACTGACTTGGACCACTAAAGCGAAAGAGAGAGCCTTTAAACAGCAGTTTGTAAACTATGCTACTGAAAAGCTGCAGATGATCGTCAGTCTTACGAGTGCTAATTGCAGCCATCAGGTGCAACAGTAAGTATCGAGTAAGAGTAAATCCTGTCCGTGGGGTGCTGTGGTGTCCTGGGAGCGGGGACTGGGTGCACACAATCTGGGAAGGTGGCTTGAGTCCCCTTGGCACTGTTACGAGGGAGTTTTAAGAGTCTGAAATTACCCCCTGTAAAGGTCAGTAGTCTGTATGTGCGAGAGTTAGTCTTAAGATTTCAACTGTCTTTGTCCACCACCTCGGGATGAAGAGGTGGGAGTTGGCTCAGTTGTAGTGGAGGCTCAGCCGGGCTGCTGGCAGACTGGCACTTCAGTGATGAGCCTTGTTCTGCCCCCAGCTCTGGCACAGGCGCTAAGCAGCCAGTCCTGGCTCTTGTGCACTGCAGAAGTGGAACTTTAGAGCCTTTTTGAATTGTTCCTTTTTTGTAGGTTTTTTTGGTCATACCCAAATACTTTTCCACCTGTCTCTGCAAAGTAATATCTGGGTGATTGTCTCCCTCAGCCTCTCCTGCTGAAACAGTTAGTCTAAATGACTAATTCAGGAAATTAGGGCTACTAAATGAAGCCTCTGATGACCAGGGTGCAGAACTCCTCTCCCTTGTAGCTTAAGGAATACTTCACTAACACAGAGTTCAGCTTCAGCAGAGGAAAGCGAATCATCCCCGTGCCCAGCAGATGTGTATTTCCGGGGACACGGAGGAGTTGGACGCAGACAAGGGCTCCAGTAAGGTGGAGAGGAGATACTCTCTCCACCACAGGACAGCCTGGTTACTACTCCAGGGTGGTAACTGGGTTTTTTTCTTTGTGTAAGGAGAAGTCTTGGAACTCATTTGGGAGCACATGGCTGAGGAGGCATGTAGGATCGGGTGCCTCAGCAACCTGGGGTGCTCCCACCCTGCAGAGCACTCTTGTTCCCCCCGAGCAGGGTGCTGGCACAGGGTTCTGCACAGGGGCACTTCATTGCTCCAGCACGTCCCCATCTCAGAATTGTACCTGTCAGTGCTCAGTGAAAAATTGCTAGATGTCATGTCGGCATAGACTGAGGTGCATTTTGTACATTTAAGGTTTCTTTTTTTTTTTTAATTTAAAAAATACATAATTCTCCTGCTTTCTACTGTTCTGTAATTCCCTAACAGACACTTTGATTGCTGTGTTCTACTGCACACTGTGATGCCAGGAGATTTTTTTTTTAAAATTTCTTTTTTTGTAGCACAGACTTCTGTAAATTGTGATTACAAACTTGTTTTTCCCTTAGGGAAATGGCTACTACCTTTGCTCGGCTCTGTCAGCAGGTGGATATTACCCAGAAAAACCTGGAACAAGAAATTGCTAGGCTTTCCAAAGAAATAGATCAGCTGGAGAACATACAGAGCAGCTCCAAGCAGCTGAGGTAAGTCTGGGTGAGACTGACCATGAGCAAATTCAGGGAGCTTGGTGCTTGCTGTTACTGTCAGGTTGAAATGAGGGAGGCACGGGTGCAGAATGGTACACAGCAATACTTGTTTTCTTTACTTGTAACAGCAGCTCTGGTTAAGTTAAATAAATGTATGCTTCTATCTCAGTGAACGAGTAAAGCTCCAAAAATATTCTTTCTTAGATTGTCTTTCCCTTTGTATGGTGTGGGAGAACTTTCTCCAGAATATTCGACTTGTGTAGGTAAAAGAGGGTGGCACCTTCCCCAAGAACCCTCCCCACAGGACACAAGAGCAGCTGTGCTGTGTTGAGTCATTCCGTGCCATAGTGTTTTTCTCTTACTACCAGTAGTAGGTGTTCACAGAAGAGAAACCTGCAGCAGCTGGGGGTTTAGGGAGGTCAGAGCAGCCTCAGGCTTCCTTTCCTGCCCTGCCTGCCCTGGCTGTGAGATGCTGCTTGGAGACGGCGCCGGGTGAGGGTCCTGCAGCGCCCAGGCCGTGCCGAGCACCTCCCTGGAATTGCAGACCCTCTCCCAGGTTAAACGTTGGAAGGGAAGGCCAGAGCCGGGGAAGGTCCCGCAGGGACCTGGCGCAGCCTTTGGGGAAAAGGAAACATGTGGCCGAGGGCAGCAGCCTGCCGCTGCTCGGACCAGAGACCGTGGTCAGGTTTTCTGAGCGCTGGGGGCTTCAGGGATAGAGATTAAACAGTGATGTTGATTCTACCTTCTTTGCGATGTTACTGCATTGAAGTAAATCCATTGCTTTTGTTTGTTTGTTTTACAGAAATAAAGCCATTCACCTTGAGAATGAACTAGATCGCTTTACAAAACATTTTCTTCAAAAGAGTAAATAAAGCATCATCGCTAACTTTCCCGGTGATCCTTTGTAGGACAAAGTAGAAATTTTACAGGTGATACTTCTCCTTTGTGGAGTTACATGAAATGATTTATATTTTAAATGTTACTTTGATTACACTTGTTAATTATTGTAAAACTTTGACTCTGGTGGTGAACCAAACTGAAGAGCTGTGGTACTCTGTTATATTTGTTTTGCAGATTTTGGGTTAAAAAAGACTTTAAACACTAAATTTCTATGGGCAGTTGACAATAAAACCCCAAATCCTTATCAATTTTTGTTAGTATGTAGCAGTGGCAAGTCTCGCTTCCTGGCATCCAGGAGTTTAGGCAGGGAGAGAGAACTTAGCCATCACAGTCACTAGTGTCTCCTGCTTTCAGTTGCTCGGGAATTAGCCGGGGCTGGAGGATGCTGCTTGTTCTTGGGTTGTGTTTAATGGAGGGAAGTACAAACTGCAGCTTGGGGCAAGGAGTTGTTTTGAAAGCAAGTGAAATTGGGATGGGCAGCAGTTCCTCTTCCTCAAATGGAAGTGAAAGATGATGGTGAACTGCAGAGCCTTCACTAATGAAATGAAGTGGGCTCTAGTTTCCCTTCTGGCTACTGCATTTAGCCAAGATAGCACTGATTTAAGTAAAAATAAACCTATTTCAACATGCTTGTCAGATTTTTTGCAATTGGTTAAGTGGTGAAATGGTCATTTGCCTATGAGAGCACTGCTAGAACCCATGTCCGGGGCAGCTGCAGGTGTGTCGCTGGCACCAGGCAAAGGAGAAATTGCTGGGCAGATGGTCTTGGCTCAGTTTCTGCACATTGGGTGGGAAAGCTCAGGGTGTGGGGCTTGACCGTGAGCTCCTGCTGGATTGAGAGCGCAGGGAGAGGCTGGTTTGACAGTTTGTACTCGTGCAATATCCCGAGCAGTCCCTTGGTCCTGCTGTAGACCAGGTTTCTTCTAGGTGAGACTTAAGGCCGATGAGTTTAGTTGACCTGTGCTCGCCTCCGGCAGCGCGAGGCCTCTTTTTAAGAAAATGTCTTGCTGTTGCCATCTGCAATCATTTAACAAACACCTGCTTTTTTCTAACTAGACTTTTTAAAAATAACTTATTTTAAAAAAAGAAAGCCTTTTCAGACTATATATTTTTATGGAAGTGTTAACATGACTAAATGAATTACTCGACTTTACAACTACACTGTAAGGATTTTCCAGTAAATAAGGGCTATCTAAAAAGGAAATAGATGTAAAATCTAATGTTAGAGGCAGTTAATTATTTGAAGACAAGGAACAGTTTTCACCACACTGTGTTTTGGTGTTTGTTTCTGACTGTGCTAGCATGAGCATGGCTCTCTTGGAACTTTATTAGCAGGCTGCACAAGGAGTCTCAAGGTTTTTGAGGGAAACTGTGAAATACAAAAAGTGCGTAACAGCCTGGTCCCCTTGTATAGGAGGTTATGGATGTGTATTAATGCTCTTTGTCTGGAGCATTTTTATGGATGTTGTATCAAGATAAAACTTTACATGCATGTGTTCTACAGTTATTTATTAAAAAATCTACTCCCCCTTTGCTCTACTAAGTTATTTGGCAGCTGTATCAGAGGTGAGGACCTACACCCTGGCACTCACCTGCAGTGCACACCCTGTGTAGGGCAGAACTGCTGAGGTAAAAAGGTGTTTCTGCTGCAGAGGAGCCAGCTGTGCCATCTGTACACCAGCTCTTATCAGTTAAATGTGCTGGGAAAATCATTAATGCTACAGATTTAACAAAAGGAAGGAGGTGCAGGTGTGTGCCCCTCAAGGGAGGGTCCGATGCCACAGCTGAAGGATCACTCTAACCTCTCCCGTGTCCAGTCGGGGCTGGGTGAACTCCAGCAAACTGGTGTTAACATACCTCCCCCCTTTTGCAGGGAGAAATGCCCAGACATTTGCTTGGGAGAAGGAAAAAACCCACCTCAGTGATTTGTTCCTAAGGGCAGTGTACTGGTGTTCACACTCCGCATTCCCTTCGCTGCGACAAGGGAAGCAAAGGCAGGACTGGAGTGCTGCAGGTAGGGGGGCTGAGCCCCTGCAAGGGCTAGTACAGCTCTGAGGAAACACCCCTGAGACAGTCTGGTTAAAAGCACTTGTTTATTGGTTACAATATCAACTCATGGCAACATCTTTCACTGAGCCACTGTACAAATACAAAGAAAAAGATCCATCGTGGAAAAAAAAAAGCTATAAACAGAGTTCATAGCAAGTGATTTTTTTTTTCACAGGGAAGTCTTTTTACAACAGCACTGTTAAAGAACAAATGGCACAAGTCCCTGGTTTTTTTAATAGCTTAAATAAAAGCTTTAAGACTGTTTCTGAATACATACACAATCCAAAGGCAGTGCAGAATCACTTCATAATTGGTAACATTACTGAAGTTTTCCAAAGTAGTCAGCAACAAGTAAAAAAAAAAAAAAAAAGAAACCTGGCTGATGAGAAATGCTGGGAACTAAAGGCAAATTAAAACCAAGCATGTTTAGAAGCATTTTGTTTTGGACTCCTTTGGATGTAATATGTACTACAAGTGTTCAGATGCTTTCATTTAAAAAAAAAAAAAAGGAGAAAAACACAAATAGAGCACCATTGTGTAAGTTAAACAAAGGCTTGAAATATCTAAGACTATTCCACCGAAGTCCATATTAGTTAAAATCTAAACATACTGTGTGGTATAAGAATGTCAGGCACATGTAATCTGTTATCAGTTATATCAATTAGTAACACTGTTCACACATTTACCATAACAACACTGCATTAACATTCTGCATGTATTTTACATAACCAGCAATTGGATAAAAAGGCTTGTGGTGCCTCTGAAGTGTAGGAAGTAGTTTCACCAGCATGCAGGCCAGATTACTGGATACAAAGTGCACCATCAACCCATGCTTAATTACTTTTACAGGAAATGCTATCTCAAAAATCAGTCATTCTGCTACACAACCATTTATACCAACTAGTTGAATTAGCCAAAACTCTCACCAACATCTTAAAGCACAGCACTAAACCTAGTGGAGGTGACAGTGTCCTCAACGAGGAAAGACTAAGCACTCTTGGAATGTTTTCACAATGTTTTCATTCCACCTTAAAGTAATGTGAACTTCATTGTGGGACAAGCGGTTACACTAACTGAATTAAAGAGTTAACTATTTCCAACCCATGCATTACAGTAAGCACACTAGGACCAGCTGTTACATCAATTCAGCTTTGCCAAGTCAAGGTCAGGCCCTCTCCTTCAGCAGGGGGAAAAGCCTATTTAATCCATGTTCCACTTCTAATGGTATATATTGTTGTCAATACATTCAGCTATCAGTTCTGCCAGATACTGTGACGTACCTGCCCTTGGGCAAGGCAGAGGATAGCGATGTTTGGAAGAAACAAACTTTCCATCTGGAGACAGATGGAAACAGGCCCACACGACTGGAGTAAGCGAGTATACATCAGCACGAGGCTGTGCAGCAGCTTTTTGTGGTTCCCAGGATCTCAACCAGCATCTCTACCACTAAACGGGTGTCCGAGTCTACACAGGAACAAACCCAAGGTGGGCCCTTGGCCTGGTTAGTATTTGCTATTGCAAAGTTAAATCCACATCAGAAAATGCTGAAAAAGAACTGTACCTGAATAAAATAAATCTTGTTACACAAAGCACATAGTTCCACTTCCCCAGCCATGAGTGACTGACTCGAGGAGGGGCTGGGAGGGAGTTACCATGCCACTGTTTCGGGATGGTGTTCTGGTTACTCCACTTCTGTAATTACACAAAAGTTACCTGAAATTCAGATAAGGACTTAGTTTGGCAACAGACTCTTGAGGAGGGGGTTGAGCTGTACCTACTAGTGCTGTGTGGCGAGTGAGTCTGTTGGCACAGCGCACAGGCAGAAGTCACACAAGCTGCATACCTGAGCCTACGTTAACCTGTAGGCACACCCCACTGCCCTCTGAGATTCAAAGCTGGGAATAAAACCATTTAGGTAAAACCTCATTTTATTATCGCCCTCATATTAGGAGGAGTTTGAGCTTTTACCATTAAAACTGCATCCATTTCAGTAACGGCATCAACCTTGAAATGTCACTGATGGCTGTTTAAAAAAGGAAATACCACAGCCGGTGCAGGTTCAGTATTTAACCTCATATAATAATGTGTTACATTAAATATGTAGGCTTTAAAAAAAAATAATAATCCAGGACAGTAATTAAACAGCAAACATCACCTTGGCAGGATGTATCGCAAGCTTTCTACAAATTCCCAAGAAGCATCAGATCCTGTTTCCCCAGCTGTGCTCGGGCTTCTTCCAGGGTTCCTTGTGTGCCCACAGGAAAGGAGCCGCCCCCGGCCCTGCAGCACTACAGACACTGGTTAACTGAATGGCAAGTGCTGGCACATAGCCGTGTGATGCTCTTGGAAACCTCATTAGCAAGTAGCTGGCATTCCTTATTGTTTGTTTTAAAAGCAGCTGAATCCAACAGACAATTGCCCACCAAACAATGGTAAGTGAAATTATTTGCAGTAATACCTGTATGAGAGCCATTACTGTGTTTAAAGTCTACCTGAACTTTTTTAAGAAAAGTTATATACATTTGTAAAATTGTTTTTGGAGTTTCGCAAGTAGAAACTAGTTTTAATACCAGAATGTAAAAATGGCACCTGTCTTTGCAAAGGTGTTGACTAGGAAATTGATTCAAAACACCTCTATGGAAAAAAATTTTTTAGAAAAAGAATATTTTCTTAAAATTCCTTAGTAACAAATTTCCAGAATGATTCACTCAAGGCAGCTGTGAGTTAAAAAAAAAAATAAATATCAAGTGCACCACTAAAAAATAAACCAAGTCTGCAAGATCCCAAAGAGCTGCTCACTTAAGAGAGTAACAAGAATTCCGTAATAGTTCTGTTAACGCAGACAGATCATAAAGCAAAGCACTGAGGAATTCCTGTGACATACACGATAGTGTGATTTTGGTCCTACACCACAGTCTGCTGTTAGTAAATGTATACTTCTCCAGCACAAGATGCGCTTTTTTCTTCTTTTAAAAGTGAATTTACTGTGATTGACTGGTACGTTTTATTGGCACCTTCACCATTATAGACATGAGAAGTTTACAGGCACAGTCTGGAAGTACTGGGATTTAGGATTACAAATGTCAGAAACTTGACAAATAGTCATCTCAGCCACAGATCTGTTTCGGTATATTACAAGATACCGGGCACTTATATTTTCTCCCTGACCCAGAGATACCCAGACTCCCCATAACTTCAGATGAGGGCAGATTAACATTATCTTCCAACCGGATGATTGAAGATTCACGTATCTTTAAAATAAGCCACTTAAGAGAAGCCAGTAGACTTAATCCCCCTTTCCAAAAGTGCCACAGACGTTCAGATTCCCAAGAGAACATCCATTGCAAGCGCAGGCATGCTGCCAGGCACCAGAAAGTTAAGCAATCTTCCCGGGTCGTTTCAGATGGGCATCAGTCACTTCATTTTCTTCTATCTACACTCAACTGTACTTGATCAGAACCTATCATTTATAAGCAACTGACATCAAAGTCGGAATAAAATCAGGATTAGGAGAGGAAATGGCTATTTACAGTGTCAGAGCTGCAGAACAATTAGCATCTACTAAGCCACCATGGTACAGACCTCTGTGACCACAGGAGAACAAGCAAGTCGCTAAGTTTATAGAGTATGAAGTTTGGAAGGGTCACACAGGTAAGAAAGGTTATTTGGTTCATTGTAAGTTACACAATTCCTTTTATAATTCACACTGCACATAACTGACAACAAGCGCTTTTGGTTGTGGTATGCTTTGGCAACCCCCTCATTTGGAGGGGGATTACAGGCGATTAACTGCACATTTAAATCTTTTTAAGATTTTAAGCAAAATCCTCCTGAATTCCTCCGTTGTGGTAATTGAGCAAGCTTTGCAAATACACTGCTTTCTGCGCGCTGAGCATCATGCCAAATCAATCTGTTAGTGCCAATCAGCTCGAGTTTGTGATGGGCCAAAACTACCTCATTTAGTCAAGAGCTGAATTGTCAAAAGGAAAAGCACTCAGCCACTTCACGACAGCAATGCAGGTCACTTGGCTTCCAGACCCAAGGACTGCGTGGAATAACTGATGCAAAAAGCTGCAGTAAGGAAGCTAATACTTCTGGAACCGGATTTTTATTTTTTTTTTTGGTAATTTTACTTTTTAAGTATTTTTGCTGTTGTTACAAGTCTGCCTGGCATTAACTCCTTGGTGTTTGGAGGCCATGACTGCCAATGGATGAACCAGGAACCACTGGCTTGAAGGAAGAACCCCATGATTAAAATTAGGCAAGCAGGTCAAGAAGTGAGTGAATAAGGCGGTAGGTATTAACTGGGAGTCTCCAGGGCCTTTAAAAAAAAATTCAAATGCCTTCCATTATAAAAACACATACATACCATTGGCTTCACTTTATCTACAGTAAATTCACAAAAACATTTAAAACAGCAATCTAGTTCATCCACTACAAAACTCAGAAGTGACATCTCGGGTTAAAAGCAAAGCTATAAATG